GGGCCAGAACGTCTCGTTGATGATGAATGCGCCGAGCAGTCTCGTCAAGCTGTGGCCGCGAAGCGCTGATAATTTTATGATCGAGGCCTTGTGCCTATCCAGAGATCTGCTGCTCGAGTAGCTCCAAGGTTCGACGAATCGGCTCGCTGGTGGACCGCGCCGAGGAGGTGGCAGCTGTCTTGGCCATCGAATCAAACTCGCTTCGCAGGGCCTGCTGGAAGCGAACCGTGCTAATGGTAAAAGTGCTTGTTGAACCCGCCGCCCATGTCCTCGTCATCCCCAATCTGGACAGCAGCAGTGTGCCTTGGCCGAGGACGAAGCTCAGCGGCTGTCTTCGCCTATGGGTCCTCAGGCAACGTCGGCATGTCGTCCGAGGCCGCTATGAGCTTCGCGTGCTCGTCGGGGCTGGCGCTCGATTCAGCAGCGCCTCCTCGGCGGCCCTCGGCACCAGGATCAGGGCCACGATGCGAAGCACCACCTGCCCCAGGAGGCAAGCGCACACCATCAGGTCCCACGTCCCATGCGCTCGCCAGAGGCACGCTCGCCACCACGCCTGTCACCTCGCGAAGGGCCATGTGCACGGAAGCGACCCCTTCGCTCACTCTCACTGCCGCCGCTGCGACTCCGAGCGCACGAGATGTCTTTCGGCTGCCATCTTAAGACGTTGCAAGCGTGAGAACAGTGCGAAGCGGCGCTGCACGCTGGTGCAACGACCCTCACCTGGGGTGGACCAGGCGGAGACATATGGATTGGCCGCGGGCTAGCTGCATCCGTTTTGCCCCCCCAAAAACGTACATCTTGGGCCAAAACGGCTACGGAGGAGGAGGACCGGTGTAAGCCTAAGACTTACCAGCGAATTTGCAATGCCCCCTCCTTCCAAGTTCCCTCTTTATGGGCCCCTACGCGGATGAACTGCGACTTGGGGAAATGCCCCAGTGGAAAAGAATCGTTAAGACATGTGGAACCGTGTCAAAACACCATTCCTGAGACTTCAGCACCCCGACTAAACGTTATTGTTGCGTCCCGACGATCGTAAACCGTACCAGAACACATTCTCGGGACTTCGGAACAACGGATCAACGTGACTGTTGGGTCCTGAAAACCCTACATCGTGCCAAATCACCACCTCTGGGACGTCGGCTACAAAAACTCGGGAAACTCTTTGAAACTCTTACCAACGGTGCGCGGCACCAACTCGAGAACCGCATTTTGAAAAGGAACCGCTCACCATCCGTGAAGCTCTTGCAAACTTTTAGCAAGAATGTGCGCGCCGCCAAAGCGAAAACCACATTTTGAAAACGGCCCGCTCTCCATTCGTGAAGCTCTTGTAGACGCGCCTGGCCCGCCCCGCCGCCACGTCTAGGGGTGCGACAGGGAGGAGTTCTTGAACAAGGAAGGCATGGAGGAGCAGGACCTCTTTGACCTCTTTGCTCTAGGACGCAGTCCACACCCCGTCCTTCATCCTGTCAGCTGCCGTCAGTCCGAAGTGTCTGAATCCCCCTGCGTGACCCGCTGGTCTCCAACCTGCGGCCCTCGGGCCGCTGCCAACAGTCTCTGAACAATCGCCTGCGTCCGAAGCTCCTTGGCCACGCGGCGCAGCTGCTCCTGCTCTTGCCCGTCGTCGCGGGCACGGGTCACGCGTGGGGGCTCGGCGGGGCCCCCCTCAGGCTCACGGTGCACCTCCTCCCAGGCCTCGTGGGCCGACGCGACGCGACATCCGTCTCTCCGAGCCATGGCCATCTTGATGGCTCTTGGGGGGCCTTCCCGCAGAGGAAACATGCCTTGTTCAATTCTGCGCATGTTCTCAGCGCCGTTCGGCGTGAGACCCGCGCACTTCTTCTGCAGGGGCCTCGAGCCCACTGTGGCATGCATCCCGCAGAGGGAACAAATCTGCAAGAACCAACGATCCACGAATGTGATCGAGTGAGACGGGTGGATTTCCAGGTCCACACCGTTCAGCGGCGTGAGCTCGGGGGCTCCAGGGGCGCTTTTCCCAGGGGGGCCCAGCACGCGACGAAACAGAAAAGCGCAAACACCTGCATCCAGGAACGATCAGCTCGCACTGAGAGCACCTCCACTTGCTACCCTCTGACGAGGCGGCCAGCATGAGCGCCCGTCGGGCTCCCTTGCGGACCAGGTGCGCAATCGAGCCAATCCTGTCAGTGTCAGGTTCAGTCCCCACCAGCCCGGCCTCCCACGCCAACTCCGCCCCGACTCCCGCCCAGACATCCGCAACTAAATTGCCTGCCGCCAGGAACTGCTGCTGCGGGGAGTCTAGCAATTCTGGCGACTCGTCGAGATGTGGGGCCGTCCACACCACATTAATCACTCGATCTGGGTGGGCCTGCCAGGCGGCCCTCGCTCGGGTCCACAGGTCCTCGTTGGGGCCTGTGGCTCTCGGGTGCTCAAAGCGAAACTTCCAGGTTTTTGCGACCGTCTTGTGGTCGGTGACAAAAGTGAAATCTGAGAGGCACTCTCCAAGCGCCAGCGCAAAAGCTAAAATCTCCGATCGGGGAACCGTTTGCCTGCGACCAAGGGGTGGGGCAGCTAAGGCTCGACCAACTTCCCATTCCCCGTCGCGCTGCTGCAAAGCTACAATAGCTGATCCACGCCGGCGACGGCGAGGGTCCGCTGAGTGCTTACCTCGAGCCGTCGCCGAAAATGTGGACCTCTCCTTCGAATGTGCACTCCTCCCAGTCCCCCAACTCACCAAACCGAACCTCCCTCCCCCCCAGAGCCTCCTCATCAAATTTAGGATGGGTGAGGGAGGCTGGCGGCAGTCCTCGAAGCCACAGCGCAGGGTCAGCGCCAGCTTGTGCCATCGCCGCGGGCACAAGTGACTCAGACTTGATGAAGTCGTCGTGGTCCACGTTCTTCGGGCACATCCAGATCCGATGCATCAGCGTCTCGTCCGCCTCCTGGCATCTGTCGCACTTCTTGCTGTCCAAGAGGTACCCCTGCTCGGCGGAGCGCTGCTTCGGCCACTGCCCTCCCGTGACCACCGTGATGTTCAGACCGACCATGTCGAGCTGCCCCTGCTCCACGAACCTGCACTGTTCAGCTAGGATCTGGCATGCATCTGCTCCAGCTTCCAATCCGTCTCCGTGGGGGTGTGCTGAGGCCGCCTTCCACAACTGGGCTCGAATATCGTCCTCGAAGTCGTCCAGCAGCGGTTGAAGACATCCAGTGCCCTCGAAAGTGCCTCCCATTGCCGACGGGATATCCCGCTGTTCTGCATGATCTTCGTCATTGCCGACTCGTCGCATCCATGCCGTCGCCGTTGGTGCGTGCCAGCCCACGTCCATTAAAGTAGCCTGCACCGCTCCAACTGGTCCTCGTACTCCTCGCCATCTTTTCGGCCCCAGCTTTGACAGACGCCCGTAAATGCTCGGCCATGCCTTGGCGACCCTGGCGTGGATCTCGGGGTAGCGCTGCCACAAGTTGATCCACTCCTTTATGACCGCCACCCGTGCTGCGATGCCAGGGTCGCCCTTCCACATCTCCACGGCCAGCGTGGTCGTCAAGCATCGCCCTCGAGCCTTCCCTCCAGCCACCTGTCCAGCTTGCCGTCGCAGCCGTTGTAGCTCATGGAGTGCCAGCCCGAACGCCTGATGACCGTATAGCGCCTGTGGTGCCGCACCTGCGTTCCACAGACCTTTGCTCTCTTTAGCCCGGGCCGCTGTACGTCTTAATCTCACTGTCTTTGCGAATCTATACTTCGCTCTCTTTACTCTCTGCTTCGCCTTCGTCGTGGCCCTCTTCCTTCCCGCCGGCGTGTCCAGGCCTAAGTCCACCGCCTACGTGACAGCGTGCACAGGGATATGCCTCTTCCTCATGCTATTCGCTGTCTTCTTCACGTCCTTCGGGTGCGTGCCGATCAAGACCGACCTGTTGGAGATCTTCATCCTCTGCTCCTTGAGGCCGTCCGTGAGGATCTCCGTGACCTGGATAATGCCATCGCCTACCGTCTGTCAACTTCCTTCTTGTCGCGCCACCGCGTCGTCCACGAATGTCCATAGCGACGACTGCGGCGCCATCCGATGTGCCCGTTCCAGTATCTGATGAAGGAATAGTTTAGCCAATCCCACTCCTCGTGCCGAGCCTGCTACCAATGACCTCGTTGACCAGATCGCCTCGCTGAGGATGTTCCGTTCCTGCGAGAATCTGGGGCCCACGAACGCGGTGATCCCCAATGCCACCACCGCTGCTGGGAACCCCACCCTGACGGCGATCTGGCTCAATATTACCAGTGAAACCGTGTCGTAGAACTTCTCGGTGCCCAGCAGGGGCGTCATCGCCGATGCCCCCAGCTCTGCTCCGACTTCGTCCGGACATGCGCGAAGCAGTCCAGCTCGCAGTGCTGAGCTCCCTTTGAGAGCGGTGTCCCAATGTGCCGATAACGCATCACTCCATTCTGAGCAACATCCGCCTCTCGCTCTCGACCATAACTTGATAAGGAGGGCCAGCATGCCGAGTACTCTGTCTCCTCCTCTCGGTTTGGCCGCCATCGCGCACTTGGTGGCAGCCAATTGTCTCGGCCATGTGATCTCCTTCTCGCACAAGTGTAGAATGTGGAGTAACCATTCTCTGGCCTGCCTGGGAGCCCGAGCGAGATCATGCGGTCCAAGATGATCAACTCCTCTTGCTTTAGCTGCGGACGTCGCCGAGATGGCGCCGTCGAGCTGCTCCAGAGTGAGCGCCTCCAGCTCGTGCTCCCAGGCCTGGTCGCGCAGCCTGTCCAGCTGGTGCGCTATGTCCTCCTTCGTGTCCACTGGGTCTGTCCAGATGAGCTCCCACTCCTCCTTCCTGATACCTATGAGTATGTCGGGGTCGGCCACTCCCTCCAGCTTGCCCGTGCGCAGCTCGAACCTCGGCGCCTGCTGCTCCTTCGCATGCCGATGTAGAAGGCCAGCCTTGCCAGTCCACGCCTTTTTTCGCCCAGGCCGTGAAGCTCTTTTGCTGCGCTGCAAATCCTCGCGCTTGCGCTGTGGCGAGGTGGCCTTCTGCTTGCATCGCTAAGTTGCCGATCTGCGCTTCATCCAATTCTGGCAGGTCACCCAGCATCTCGTAGAACCTCTGCTGCGCCGTGTCACCGTGCTTCTTGCCGAAGACCTGGCGCTGGTCCATCCCCCGCAGGACCTTGCCCTGTGCCCTCGCCTCCGCTAAGCACTTCGCCTGCTGCCTGCCGTCCGTGTCATTGGAGCGCAGCGCCTGGTACCTGATGAGGATAGCGTTGAGGATGCCCCACTGCTCCGCGGGCCCGAACTTCATGTGGGTCCTGCCTGGTGTGGATCTCGCCTTCGCCCATTGAACGTCGAAGCACGGCGCTCTCCCTCGGTAATGCGCGGCCTCCTCCTCTCCAATCCCGTCCGTTGCAATCGCCGCTTCCTCGAGACAGGTGACCCAATCGCCGTGCATTCTCGTCGCTGCCCCTTCAGCGTCGCGATGCCTTCCGTCTCGGATGATCAGGTGGCCGTCCCAGGATTGCGGCTCCTGCGAGAGGGCCCAGCTCAAGCCACTGCGGGTCGGTACCCTCTGGTCCCCAATGCCCATAGGCTGGGGGGCTGAGCAGTGCGTATCCGCAGGGCCAAACGAGCGTAGGGTCTCCTCCCATGTCTCATCTGTGATGTAGAAGGTCTTCTCCTTCGACGCCTTGTCCGCTTCCTCGACCATGACCTGCTCCTGGAACGCTTCTCGTAGGTGTGGCTCGAGTCGCTCTTCTGCTCGTTGCCGTTCCTCGTGCCGCTTTCGGGTCCTCGTACTGTGTGGGTCCGCCTTCTTCTTCGGTCTCGGAGGTGTCGCTAGCTCCCTCGGTAACTGCATTCTGCGGTGCCACCATGGTGTAGCGGACCCTTCTAGTGTAAGCGAGAGCCCGCAATGTGTGCGCCAGGGCACCGTCCGCACCGCCTCTAACTTGACCGTGTGCGCGAAGGCCAGCCCCTGGCAGCCAATATGCCGAGACCAAGACCGCGTTGCCTGTCTTCGTGTGGAGGGCCGTAGAGGGGATCCTTCTGCCCATCATTCTGCAGCCTCTCTCTGATGGTGTCGTACGTGGAGCAGGCGATGTGGGACTTGACAAGGATGAGTTCGCCCCCGAGGTCCCGTCCTCCGAGCGCTGCGTGGGCACCGCCGCCGTGCCCGCCATCTTCCAGCCGTCCTTGGCCACGTCGACCTTCACCTGCTTCATCTTATCTTTTGCCATGTGCGTCTCGGACATCATGATGATATCCATGTCGTTGCCCTGCTCGTTGATGAACTTGTGGGCCTTGGGGCCCCACTGTGTGATGTTCGAGAAGAACACCTTGCTAAAGACGAGGGCCGCCAACAGCAGCTGCATCTTCCGCTCGACCGGCCCCATGCTTCGAGCTGGCCATGGCCTTCGCGTCGTTCCTGAGCCGCTCCAGCCTGTCCTTCCGCTGCTGCACCTCCTCCTCGGACAGTGGCTTGGCTTCCGCTGCTGCGGCGGCTGCGCTGGCGCCTGCAGTGGGTGGAGGTTCTGCTGCTGCGGGAGCCTCGCCGCCTGTGTTCGCCTTCCGCTTCTTCGCCTTGTGGGGCGCGTGAATGGCATCCGCCTGCTTCTTCGCCTCCGTGAACTCCGTGTACTGCTTCTTGCGTTCTCGAGGAGCTGTGCGAGGGAGGCCATGTCCTTCTTGAACTTGAGCAACTGTTATCCTCAGCCTCGTAGTCGTCCAAGTTGGCGAAGAGCTCGGGGTCCACCTCTGGCGCCTTCCAGTCCGCCGCAGAGTCCTCGTCCTGAGACGGGATGGTCTCACTGGAGTGCGCCCGCAGGGTGGCCTCGTGCTGCTCCTCCGCGTCGGCTGCGTCCTCGAGCGCCTTCTTGTGCTTCTCCTGAGCGTCCCCCAGCCAGCGCTGCGCCTCCATGAGCTGGCTAGCCGCCTTCGCCAGAGCCGCCTTCTTCTGATCCATGTTGTTGATGGCCTGCCTGAGTGCCTGAGCCTTGGGGATCTCCGCGGGCTTCGGCGCCTTGGCTGTGAGCTGGGCCTGGAGCGCCTGCAACGGGCCAATGTCGACATTGGCTGTGGCATAGGCGCCCTTGCCCAACTGGAATTTGTCGATGATGTGTTGCACCTCGTCACCGGGGGAGGTGATGACAATCTGCTTGGCCCACGGTGGTTTGCCGACACCGCGCTGGCCGCCACCGCCAGGGTCCGACTTCCCGCCCCAGCCGCTGATGTAGGCTTCGCACTTGTTGCACCACCCTCCCGATCGCTGAAGTTTCCAGTCGAACACCCATCCTGCGCACCCGCCGCACACCGTGTACGTCTGGCGCTTCGGCATGCTGACGCCGTCTCGCTCGGAGGTTGCTCCTGCGTCGCCTGGGCCGGCTCACGCAGTGGTGCGATGAAAGAAACTGGAACTAGCCGCGGACTAGCGGTATCCGCCTGTTTCCCCTGGGAAACCAAAACCTTGAGCCAAAATGGGAGGAGCAGGAGGAGGAGGAGGAGGAGGAGGAGGAGGAGGAGGAGGAGGAGGAGGAGGAGGAGGAGGAGGAGGAGGAGGAGGAGGAGGAGAGGGAGGAAGAGGAGGAAGGGGAGGAGGAATATGATGAGCAGACGTAGGAAGCGGAGGGGAAGGAGGAGGAGGAGGGGGAGGAGGGGGAAGAGAATAATGGCGGCACGGGGGTTCACCCAAGCCTACCTGGGCAATGTGCAGGCGAAGGGTGGTGCGCGGGGCGCGGCGCTTTCATGTGTTTATGCTTGCTTTTTGTTGGTCTCTTTTTTGAATACGTAAGTTTTCAGCTCTTCTGTTTCTGGCCGGTCAAAACGGCAACCCAAGACAGAACAACACGACGGCAGTCCGCGCAGACCATGCTGCGAGACGGGAGTCCCCGCACGGAGAAATTCGGACCCCCAAGACGGGGGGAGGCACGTCGATCTTGAAAGCGTGAGAAACGCCCCCCAGCGTGTCACATCATCCAGGCGCACCCCCATTCTGCGCGCCGCCAGCCGCTGAATCAAAGCGGGCCACAGGAACGAGCGCCGATGCCTCCACGCCGCCGAGGCACGCGCGGCGTATTCGCACCAAACAGAACCGCCGACACGCGGCCGCCTCAGCAACCTGGCCGTTCACGCGCGCACGCAAGGCACATCGTGTGGCGAGAACATTATCAAAAGCCATTCCCTGCACTCCTCCACCCCTCCTGCACGACGTCATGATAAACTTTCCGAGCCGCGCCCAGCCGTGACTCTGAGAAACTGCCTCCGTGGGGCTGAACAAATCCGCGTAAGCGCGAGGACGCGTAGGGTGCGGGGTGCGTCCCATTTTAACTGGGCTGCCCTGTCCTGGGGGAATCGCTCTTTGCCTTCGTCGGCCCCCGCGCCAGCCTTCCTACCTCAAGCGGGAAGCATTACATGAACTCCTCCACTGTCCCTCTCCCTCGTTCCCGTCCCCCCAACCAGCGCACTTCCACCAGAATGCACAGCCCAGGTGCTGCGAACATGCTTTGCCCTTCTGCCCCTCGCGCGGCGATAGCAACAGCTACACATGGAGCAGCGCCCCTCCAAGATGAAGGAGCGGGTGGGGGTGCAGGAACGGTGGGGAGGGGCGGTGGGAGGGGGGAAGGATGGGGAAGAAGCTGGAACGGGAGGGGGAGGAGGCAGACGAGGACGAACGGCGATCTCTGCCCTCGTGTCCCTGACACCAACCCGAGGAAGCAAGTCTGCGGTACCTTCATCGTCTCCAGTCCCAGGCGCTGCGTTCCAGGACGGCGGCGGCGTCGTCGCCCTCCGGGACGCGGAGGAGACCAGCAGCACCACGAGCGCCTCGTGCCGCCTGCGCGCCGCCAGGAGAGCGGGGCCGCCGGGCGTGTCCGGAGGGCCTCCGACGGAAAAACCAGACGCTGTCGGCACGCGGGGACCCCCCGATCAGCTGCCACTCGCTGGGGGCACCTCGGTCGCCCTTGGCGATTGTGGTCCCTCGCTCAGTTTCCATACCCTTTCTGCTCTGGATGTCCTCCCCATGCCCGAGATAAGGCCGACCCCTGATCGGCCCCCTCAGGCCCAGAAGCCCCGCAGAGGAAGCCTCCGTAGCCTGTGCAGAGAACTCCCGTGAACTTGCCTTCAGACAGAGGTCTTGCCGACACCCTGCCCTCATGCAGGGCACCTCAAAGCTCGCCAACACTAGCTCGCACCGCACCTCCGCAAACAACGCTGCCGTTCAATGCTGCTGCCATTGCCACGACCCCTGCCTTTCGCCGCCGGCGCCGCCGTCGCTGCCCGCGTTGGATCAGGATATTTCCCGTTCCAGCTGTTTGTATTTCTCCTCTGGTACGGCGATATGTCATACTAGCCGCGGGCATTACAACAGCTGTGGCCGTAGCGATGGCTGAGATGGTAACACAGACAAGGATATTTTTTCCGCTGGTAGGCAGGCAAGTAGGAGTATGCCTCCTTTTCTGCAAGTCCACCGCAAGGGGCAACACCATTGGATATTGCGGCGGTGCCAGCAGAACTCCTCCGTGCAGAAATGGAGGAAAGTCTTGTGGCTCACAGTCCTCTCGGCGGGATAGGACCAGGACTTCAAACAATCAAGCGTTCAGAAAGTCTCCCCCGCCCCCCCTCTCCCTCCAACTGTTGCCTCTTCTTTTTCTTCTTCTTCTCATTCTCCGTTCCTGTCCCCGCCCCCCGGCCACCTACTTCGTACATTCGGGCGTCTCCTCCTCTGACGGGACGGGGGACTCCATCACGGAAAACGGGCCAAGGGACGAAGATGATCAGAGTAAACCCAAAATACATCAATGCTGGTGTAATGCACCCTTCCGTCCAATCCCTACAAGCAGTCCTTTCCACTACGGGACGCGCGCCCTTGAACGAAGGGCGCCACTTGGGTGTGGTATTCGGGCTACGGCTCCGTTTTGAAAATGGTCCGCACTCCGTTTTTTGTAGCACGAAGACATGTGAAGACATACATTTGCACTTCAACCAGTGTCCAGGCATATCCGATTTGAAAATGAGCCGACCTCGATCCCAGTGGCGCTGTCCGCATGCGTTTCCCCCACCCAATACCGCGCTTCGTGGCCCCATGGGAACTCCACCGAAGGCCCCAGTGGCGGTGTCCGCATGTGTTTCCTCCACCCAAAACAACGCTTTGTGGCCCCATAAGGAGCTCCACCGTAAGCCCCAGTGGCGGTGTCCGCATGCGTTTCCCCTATCCCGTACAGCGTTTCGTGGCCCCATAAGGAGCTCCACCGAAGGCCCCACTGGTATGGTTCGCATGCGTTTCCCAGTACCGCGTCTCGTGGCACCATAGGGAGCTCCACTAAAGGCCGCAGTGACGGTGTTCGCACGCGCCCTCTGCGTTCAGTGCAGCGTGTCGTGGTCCCGTAAGGAGCTCCACCGAAGGTCCAAGTGGTATGGTTCGCATGCCGCCCCCCTTCCACTTCGGCAAACCCCTAACACGTTTCGTGGCCCCATAGGGAGCTCCACCGGCCCCAGTGGCGGTGCCCCCATTAAGAACAACGCTTCGTAGCCCCATAGGGAGCTCCACCGTAGGCGCCAGTGGCGCTGTACGCAACTGTTTCTCCTACCCAATATAGCGCTTCGTGGCCCCATAAGGAGCTCCACCGAAGGCCCATGTGGCGGTGTCCGTATGCGTTTCCCCAAGCCAGTACAGCGTCTCGTGGCACCATAGGGAGCTTCACCGCAGGCCCCACCCAGTGGCGGTGTTCGGACGCGTGCGTCTCCCCCACTGATTATAACGTTTCGTGGCTTCATAGGGAGCTCCACCGAAGGCCCCAATGGCTGCGCCCGCATGCGTTGCCGCCCCACTTCGGCACACCCTTTACACGCTTCGTGGCTCTAGAAAGAAATCCACCGAAGGTGATACCAACAACGGCGATACTTGGAACATTTTTTTAATGTGGTAAAAAGTAAGAAGGACAAATGTAGACACATATGTACTACAAATAGAGAACAACAAACAAGTGGTCCTTGACAATTTACCCTTCGAGATGAACGAGTGTGTGCGCATGGAATGGTTTGACAGGAGCGACGGGGGTCCTGGTACAAGCTGGGCTGACATGGTATGCTATTATATGGAAAATGAGCGATGGGGCAACCTCATAGGTATGTACCTTGCAACACGAAAACTGGAACGGTTATCACCAGCCACACTTCGGAAAAGGGGGTAAATCTTACTGTGCGGTGCGGCCTGCGTGGTGCAGTCTGTGTAGCGCAAACTATGTGCTAGTACTCTGTACGATGCAATCTGTGGTGCAATCTGTGCGCTCAATGCTACGGCCGCCCACCGCGCTCTGGCCCTGCGCGCCTGGTGTTGCTGCCCGCCCGGTTGCTCATCGTCGAACTCTTCGGCGTCTGAGCGTCCCTCTTTCCTCTCGGCCGTCCCCCCCCCCCTCTTTGCTCGCCGGCCAATTCGCTATTAGTTAAGGCCCCTATCTAGCTTCACGCTGGAGCGGATTTCGCCGCCTCGCCGCTGACGAAAAAACTGTGCTCCGTGCTCGGCGCTGCAGTCTGCGCAGTGCACGCTGTGTGGTGCAAACGCAAGCCCGCGCACGGGGGCGGCCACGGGCGGGCACGTGGCGACGACCCGGAACTTCCAGCGGAGGCCACGAGGCGGCCACGGGGGCGCTCTGGGCGAAAACCCCAAAAATCCCTGCCAACTCCTCCTCTTTTCCTCCTCCTCCTCCTCCTCCTCGTCGTCGTCCTCCTCCTCCTCCTCCTCACGGGCGGGCACCGGGCGAAAACCCCAAACACCCAGCCAAGACATGAGGCTGCCACGACGCGGCCGCGGGCGGGGACGGGGCGAACCTGGAAAACCCCGGCACTTGCTTCCCAAGCACCTGGGAAGCAACCGCTCCGTAGATCCGAGCAAAGCCCGCTATGATCAAGGACTGCGACTGGTAGGGCCCAGGCAACGTACTTGCAGGATCGTCATCGGTGCTGGTAGGATCCTGCCAGTGCCCTGATGTGGATCTGGAAGGGTCCTGGAATGACCGTCGTCGGTCCTGATCCTGGCAGGGTCCCAGTGCTGGGAGCGTCCCAAAGCGCCCGCAGTCCCACCCAACGCTCTTTCTCTCTCTGTCTCTCGATCTCCCTCTCCTTCTCATCTAAATTTGTCCTCAACTGCAAGCACCTGTACAGTGATATTCGAAGGGCGCACCAGCGTGCCTTAAGCAGGTGGCTGGGGGCATGGCGGCCAGCCTGGCAGTGGCCGCGGCAGGCTCCTACTCACACTGATATATCTTTGCTGCTTGTCTCCGCAGCATCGCATCGATGTGCTCAGATCATATCATCCACGGCACCATGATAGCTTGCCCACATGCCTCTATCTGCGTTTTCCTCGTACAGGTTGTAGATGTGCTTCATCTTCTTCATGTGGAAACTGCACGGGGAGACGGGTGGGCATGGAAGTGGAGCCAGAGAGCGACGACAGTGGATGCCTCCCCCAATCTGGCGGGCTGGACACCTTCGGCCATATACCAGCACGTGCACTTTCGATTATGAGATGTCGGACTGTGGATCCAGCTTCTGGAGGGAGCGAGGGACGGGGAAGGGGGTGGCGAGTGAGTGAGGGAGGGAGGGAAAGGCGCAACATGGCCCGAACTGCGTCGGCGGGTGGCCAGAACGAGTGCGGTCACAACCGCAGTGAGAAGCGAAGTACTGCGGAGAGAAATAACAATGACTAAACCTAAGACCAACTACGTGGGGTACTCTTGGCAAATCGAACCTCCTCTGCGACGGCTACCTCTGACACGGGATGTTGACAACGCATCACCTCCCTCCAGCTGTATCCTAAACTACCGTCAAGCCAAATGCAAACCAACTAAGAAACACGCAAACACGCACACAACCACATATAATTTCACACTCCCAACAAAGCTGTGATAATCACTGCCATGGAGGCACTGACCTTGCGGCGTTTTCAACATCACAACGGTATCATTAGAACTGGGCTCCGCTACCTGCTACCAATACACGGCCCGATCCACCCGAGAACCCCCCTTTTGAAGCGTCAACACGAAGCACAGCGAGGATGGATGAAACAATTCTGAGAAGATCTGCCACGATCCTGGCGTTGTTTTCTGACACCCGGTGGATCGGTCAACCTTGAACGATCGGCGGCTTTTCGATCGCCACCTCGTTCGACATTGGTTGATTCTGGGCCACTGGCGGCGTTCAACCTTGAACGCACGCGCTGGGGCCGCAGCCGCGTCGACACGACACGAGCCTGCCGTATGGCATGAGGTGGCCGCGCTGGCCCGTAAAGCTGTAAGACAAACCGGCAGGACCCTGAATCTTCCTCGAGAAGAACAGCGTGCAAAGTTTCAAGGCTCCGCGCCGCCAGCCAAGGCCCACGACGGCCGAATGCTGAGGAGGACGGAGAGGCCAAGAATCGGGGAAAGCGACTCGCCGTTGGAGAGCGTTGTCTTTAGAATGTTTTGCCTCACGGATTGCTCAATTCCATTCTTCATCTCGGACTCTTCGAAGGGTGATGTTGAATACACCTGTCGTTAGCGACCGCAAGGCAGTCCCTGATGTCTGCAACAAATCGAGCTCTGGGCACACTCATCGTGAAAACCACGCCTCCCTTTGACGTCACCATATGTGAAGTGGGGTGGGTTCGTGGTGGGGGTGTAGGAGGAGAGAGGGCAAGAGGCTGGTTCGGCCAAAGGACAGCACGATGTGCGTTCTCTTGGGGAAATGCGGGCTCTGCGGTGCAAACTACTCCGCCCCTCAGGCGGGATTGAAGAACTATCCTGTCCGCTTGTAGGCCCTTTCGGCAGAGGGCCACATGGCTTACTCTTGCCAAGTCATTCCAAACACGAGCCCAGAACAAAGATGAGCGAATAGCAGGAGGATGAGGACGACGAGGGCGCCTGAAATCCACGTCAAGCCTCTTCAGCACGCCGTCTTCGGGGGAGAACACCATGCCGTGGATGCGTGGAAAGCAGCACCTTCCCTGGCCTGCACCCCATTCCGCCTCCTCCTCCGCATCCTCCTCGTCGTACTCCTCCTCCTCCTCCTCCTCCTCCTCCTCCTGCTCCTCCTCCTCCTCCTCCTCCGTCCTCCTCCTCCTCCTTCTCCTCCTTCTCCTCCTCCTCCTCCTTCTCATGCGGACGCCTAAGATGTTGGAAAAGCCCACCAACTTGAAAAGACCAAGCACCCTCGCCTGAACTCACGAATCGTATACCGTCGGCATGCACCGGCGGCGCTGCACACCCCCGCTGCGCACCTCCTGCCGCCGCGCTTGGACGGAACACCCCGCGCGCAGACACCTCTATGCGAACAAACGGGTCCCTTCGCTCATTTCTGTCTCGATCCCCTGTGCCGCGTGCCCAACAGCGTCCCGTGCACCCCCCGTCTTTGTTGGTCTCTGCGCGGCGCTTTTGCACGTCCGCGGTCTTGAAGAGATTGAGGCACTGCTCCGTGACGTTGAGCTCAACCTGGCGTTCCTCCTCCTCCTCCTTCTCCTCTTCTTCCTCCTCCTCTCAGAACTACGCACTTGGCTGGCACAAGGGATGGTGGCGTATATCTGGTAAACCAGGGGCAAAGGGTTTACAACGAATAGCCCGAGGCACTTCTTCAAGGCAACATATCTGCTTTGAGGTACCTCGAGAAGATACCTAGAGACTAGTACATGTCCAGGGGCGCCTGCTGGAAAGGCACTTTTACGTTCTCAGCAAGGGCTGTATGCAGATGCCGTGCGGACTCGGGAAACCGAGAACCTTCATTTTAACACACTCCTCGCCAGAAGCCCAAACACGACTATCTGCAACAGACTGTGCCACTGGATTCAGCTGGAACGCTCTTACGAAGGGTCTGGCCAATGCACCCCATCTGACACTTGCACATCAAAATCAATCTGCGTGCATGCGGACTTCTGGTTCTCGTAAGCGCCTGGAAAATGAGCCCTCTCGGGTGTCCAAGCATCATATGGGCAAGAACAAGCCGTACGAGCTGTCAACAATCACATCCTCCTTGCCAATCCTTCACCTCTTTCTCATCGACGCGTGCTCGCCCCCAAAGTGGTAGTTCCTACTGGTGAGCCCTAATGAGTTACGCCGCCAGGCCATGCGAAAGGAGTGGGGCGTGGGGCGTGCTGGGCGGGGGCGGGGGCGGTGGTGTGCTTCGAGGAGGAGGAGGAGAAGGATGGGGATGAGGATGAGGATGATGAGGAGGAGAAGGATGAGCAGCAACGGCCGCAATAAGATGAGGAGGGCTTTGAGATCAGGCTGCTGGGATAGATCGGCATGCAAGAGGCACCAACTTCTTGAGCTTCTCGCCATCGTCGATGATGGCGCTGAGCTCCTCTCGCAAGCCGACATCACACAATGTCCTAGACCTGAGGAAAAGCCCTTCTAGAGGAGAGGAGGAGGGAACCGATGCCGAGCGGAAGAACTGGCTCGGACGAACCGCGACCCTGCCAGACCCGAGCACGACGCACTCGAGCCCGGGGCCTGGAGCCAACTCGGCAAACAAGCGACTGGCGCGAGCGACTCCCACCTCCTCGGGGTAGTTCGGGCCCACGGTGTTCTTTTTCATCGCTTGTGTGGAGGCGGCCAGAAGTGGAGCCCAGGACGCCTCTAGCCGAGTCCGGAGTGCAGCCGACGATGGCCAGCTGATGCCATCGCCCGTCTGGGAACACGACTCCCGACCCTCACTTCCACACTTCTCCTCCCGCTCCTCCCTCGCAAGGACCTTCAAACGCTTCGGCCGCCCCGTCTCGCCGCCACGGGTGTCTTCGCCACCCGCCGACAGAAAAAGATGGGAGCATGGGCCTGGCTGCCAGGGCCTCCAGGCTCATGAGGCGGCCACGGACCGCATCGAGTTTGGGGCTGGATCAGCTGAATATTCCTTGATGCTAGCGCGTCGAATCATAGCAACGTTCAAGATGTGTGTGATCAAGAGTGTGTGATCAAGAAATCGCGGGACCCCGTGCGGAACCGCGGAAACCAACCTGCGACCCAACGGCCAGGACTCTCAATAGCTGGGGCCCTATGGGCAACCTTAGGCGACCAGCAGCACGCTGACAGACAGCCGCATTTCTTCGGGAGTAAGAATCGCAGTTGAGAAACTTTCGGAAGCGTACCATCTATGTCTCTACAAGATAGCGTTCATAGGCTGAGGGATTATTTGCTGTAGCGTGCGGTGTAGTCAATTACAGCAAGAATTGTGACAGGCATTAATCATGCAGGCCCGCACGCGGACGCCCTTGAGAGGCGAACCTTGAATTAGACAAGAATTCAAAATACTTGCCATGTTTAGAAAATATTCGGTGACATAAGACACTGCATCATATTCGGATCCGGAAAGGTTTTCATTCTCAGGTGCTAGCAGCTAGAGAGGATTCCGAATCACAGCGACATCCAAACCAGAATTGCCAGACAATTGAGTTGGAAACGACTTACATACTATACTTCAGAATTAGACAATATTCAGAATCATAGAACATCGAACCATTAGGGCAAATTCAATGAATTGGAGGGGAACTTACACGCTGAAGTCCGGAGTTGCGAAGGATAAACACGCTACCATCCATAGTTGGAGAGAATTTCGAATCACAGAGAATTTCAAATCAGAACTGCCAGATAATTGAATCCGAGCAGAACTTACTTATTGAAAGTCGAAATCGCAAAATATTTTGAGACATCTTAAGAAAAAAACATTATCGCACAAATATTCTAATCAGGATGGCTGGATAATTGCGTTGGAGAGGGAATTACTGTTAGGGCAAGTTTACACATTTGAATCCAGAGCTAAAATGGATTCATAGAACATCAAATCAGAAGAGCTGGACAATTGAGTTGGAGAGGAGCTTGCACACTGGAGTCCAAACCGGAACAGGGTTGTACATAATAATACACAAGCCAAGAAGGCGTCATAATCGCAGAAGAATTCGAATCATAATGGCCAAATACTCAAGTTGGGGAGAACATCTTACATTGGAACCCAAATAAATTATCATCCCGGAGTCAAAAGGAGATCCCCAATCACATATAAGTTCAATCATGATGGCTCGATCATTGAATTGGAGGGAAAGTCGCAGATTGAAATCCAGAGTCAGAAAGACTTCAATTCAAATCCCGAGCTCGATAGTATTGAATTGGAGAGGACTTCGCATATGGAAAACCAGAGTAAGACATGGTTCTCACATTTTAAATCCAGCGTTGGACAAGATTCTGGATCACAGCAGACTGCAAAACCAAAGTGGTAGATAATGGAACTGGATAGGGAAACCACATTGAAATCCAGTGTTAGAAAACCTTCTGAACCACAGAGAAATTCAAAGCATAATTGCCGAAAACTTGGGTTTGAGAAAAGCTTACCATTGAGATCCACAGTTTTAAACATCGACACGTTATCATCCGGAAGTAGAACAAATGGTTCTGGATCGTAGCTCAAACTGGGATTACCAAAAACTTGATTTTGATAGGAATTTACGTATTAGAATCCAAAGTTATACCAGGTTTTCATATTGTAGTCCAGAGTTAGAAAGGATCTCGAATCACGGATAATTTCAAATCAGAATTGTCATCACGATGATTGGAAATGGATTGGAAATGTTGAAAACCAGAGTAAGCACATATTGTACGCAAATATCCCAGACTTAGGCGGGATCCCGAATCGCAGAGAAATTCAAACCATAATCCCCGAACAAATGAGTTGGAGAGACATTTGCATACGAACATCCAGAGCTATAGACGGTTTTGCACATCAGGGTACAGAGTCAGAAAAGGCATCCACATCGACAAAACATCTAAATTAGACTTCCCATGTAATAGAATTGGAAGAACATTTACATTTTGAAAAGCAAAGCTAGAACACATGCCATCTAAGACAATCCCTCCGAACGCTGCACTTCAATGACATTTACTCTCCAACTCATCTCACTGGCGCCCCTGGTTTGAATTTCTCACCGATTGTGGATCACCTCTAAATCTGTACATCACTTATTGACCTCTGCATTTCAATTAGTAAATTCCTTTCCAACTCAATTCGCTGGAAATTCTGCCTTGAATTCCGCTGGGATTCGGAAGCCTTCCCAACCTAGGATCTAATCGATAGAACCCTTCCTAACTCTGAATTCCAATTTGTGCACTCCTCTCCCACTCTGCCCATTCAGAATTGGCAATATCTGTGATTCGGAATCCCCGCTCTGGAGTTTAATGTGTAAAATCCTTTCTGACTCTGGGTTTCAACATGAAAATCCCACTCCGGCTTTACGACCGTGCAATTATGATTCGAATTTTTCTGTGGCTCGGAATCCTGTCGAAGCCTGGATCTGTAAAACCTCTAGGAAGCATAATCCTTTCGAACTCAGGTTTTTGATTCGTAAATTCCTCTCTGACTCAATTATTCGGCATATCAGCTTTGACATTCCCTGTGATTTGGCATCCTTTCAATCTCAAGGCTGTCATATGTACAACCCTTTCGAACCCTAGATTTTAATAGGTGGATTCCTCTCCATGCCAATTCTCTGGCATTTCTGTTTCGAATTTGTCTGTGGTTCCAAGTCCTGTTCAACTCTGGAAGATAGCATGTGCAATCCATTCCCAACTCTAGATTTCAGTATGTACATTCCCCTCCAATCACTGCTGTGGCAATCATGTGCTGAACTTCCCTGTCATTGAGAATCCGAACTCTGACCGTATTTTGTACAACTATGTTTAACTCTGGGTTTCGTTATGTGAATCCCTCTCCCGCCCAATTCTCTGACAATTCTGATTTGAAGCTCTCTGTGGCTCGGAATCTTCTCTAACCTCGAAATCTATGTAAAGCCCTTTCTAACTATGGATTTCAATATCTGAATTTCTCACCAACTCACTATCCTGGCAATTCTGGTTTCGTTACCTGGGATTTCGAAATCCTTCCTAACCCTGATCGTATACATGTGGGATCCACTCTATCTCTCGATTTCAATACATCAGCTCATCTGCAAGCCATTCTCTAGCAATTCTAATTTGAATCTCTCTGTGATTCGGGATCTGTTGGAGCTCTAGAATTTACCATATCAAATCACGAACTATAAATTTCAGTATGTACAATCCTCTCCCAAGCTAGTCATCCTGTGGTCATATGAATTGAATGTCTTTGCGATTCGGGATCCTCTCAGAATCTGGATTTGAATGTGTAACATCCGTTCTAACTCTGGGTTTCAATGTGAAAACGTCTTTGGCATTCAAGCTTTTTTTGTTGTTATTCTTATCTTTCCTTTTTGTTATTTAAAAAACAACCTTCCTGCGATTCGGTCCATTTTCTAATCCTGGATTTCAAAATATGAATTCCCCTGTAACTCTAGATTTCAATACGTCCATCCCTCTCCAAATCAAGTCTCTGGCACCTCTGATTTGAATTTCACGTGATTCGAAATTCTGTATTTTGAAACCGAACCGCCCTCAATCCGTGAAGCTCATACAATTTTTACTGCGAATGGGCGCAGCGCCAAAGCGAGAGTTAGATTTTGAAGACGAACCGCCATCAATCCATGAAGCTCGTGCACATTTCAAAAAAAACTGATGCGCGCAACGCTACGACGAGAAATATGTTTTCAAACCGGGCCGCCCTCCATCCGTGAAGCTCGTGCGAATTATTATAGCGCGTGTGCGCGGCGCTAAAGCGAAAACTAGATTTTGAAAGCGGGCCGCCGCCTGCAACGGTCGCCCTCATTCCATGAAGCTCGTGCACATTGTTATAGCAAGTGCGCGCGGCGCTTAGGCGAGAACTAGAGTTTGAAAACAAGCCGCCTGCAATCGGTGAAGCTCATGCACATGTTAAAAAACGGATGCGCGTTGCGCTAAACCGGGAACAATATTTTGAAACCGAGCCGCCCTCAATCCGTGAAGCTCGTGCAATTTTGATTGCGAATGGGCGCGGCGCCAAGGCGAGAATAGATTTTGAAGACGAGCCACCCTCAATCCATGAAGCTCGTGCACATTTCTGAAAACGAATGCGCGCGGCGCCGAAGCGAGGACTATCTTTTCAAACCGAGCCGCTCTCCATCCGTGAAGCTCGTGCATATTATTCTAGCGAGTGTGCGCGGCGATAAAGCGAATACTAGATTTCGAAAACGAACCGCCTGCAATCCGTGAAAGTCGTGCACGTTCTTATAGCGAATGTGCGCGGCGCCAAGGCGAGAACTGTATTTTGAAAAAGAGCCGCCCTCAGCCCATGAAGCTCGTGCAGATGTTTATAGCGAGTGCGCGCGGCGCTAATGCGAGAACTAGATGTTGAACACAAGCCGCCTTCAATCGGAGAAACTCATGCACATGTTAAAGAACGGATGCGCGCGGCGCTAAGGCGAGAAATGTATTTTGAAACCGAGCCGCACTCAATCCGTGAAACTCGTGCAAATTTCTATTGAGAATGTCCACGGCGCCAAAGCGAACACTGAATGTTGAAAACAAGCCTGGAGTTTTTTTTTTGCTGTTTGGGGCGGTGGTAAAGATATCATTCCACGAAAATCGCCCCCTGGATTTTTTGCACGGTGCTGAGATAATGTGGAGGGGTTTCGTTTATTGCTTCTTGAGATTAATACTTGCCCTCCTGACTAACTCCTGATTCGATGAACATGTGAATCCCCCAAACTTTGTTCTCTGCCAATTCTGATTTGAAATTACTCTGTGATTCGAAATCCTTTCTCACTCTGGAGTCTGATATGTAATATGCTTTCGAACTCTTGATTTCAATATGTTCATTCCTCTCTAACTCAACTATCTCTGTCCGTTATGATTCGAATTTATCTGTGATTCGGGAATTGAATGCTCAACGGATTACTAATGTTGCGAACAATGATTCGTGACCCGGCCCGTTCCCGTGATAATGTCCGTCGCCCACCGTCGCCCAACGCCAAGAAAAGAAGACCGTGACCAAGATTGCGGCAACGCCCGTGACCATGATCGTGGCCGCGACCGTCACAGCTACCGCAATCCTGCAGCCACTAGCGTGCGAGATGTGCAACAGTGGATAGAGACGGAATCATAGGCGGCTCCTGGAAGTCTGGGCCTCGCACCACTGCGCTACACATGGAGCGTGAAGAGTTCAGGACACACTCCGGAGAATGAATTATGGCGGGCGAATCCTCCTCCTCTTCTTCCTCCTTCCCCTCCCCCGCGTCCTCCTCCTCCTCCTCCTCCTTCTCCTCCTCCTCGTCCTCCAGGCGGAATAATATTTCAAGCCTGGCCACCACCAACGCCTCACCCGCCTCCTCCTCCTCCCCCTCCTCCTCCTCCATCACCCTTCCCCTTCCCTCTCCTCCTCCCCTTCCTCCGCCCCCCCGGGCTCCTCAGCGTGGAGCCTGCTGACGTCACGGATGTTCGTAAGCCAGCTGTCCAAGGGCGCGCCGTACTCGTACTTGGTGGTAGACGCCTCGCTGGGGGAGGGCGGTGTGCTCCATCCAGCCTCAACCCTCGGCTGTCCAAGGCAGGCAGGGCAGGCACCCCCGTGGAAAGGAGGAGGGTGAAGAGGAGGTAGATGAGGAGGGGGAGGTTGGGGGGGAAGTGGAAGGAAACGGTGGGATAACTTAAGGACTCTGAGGAGGGATCGCGAGGAACACGATGAGGATGAGCGAGGTAACTAGCAAGGGGACGAGTATGAAGAGTGGGTGGGTGTGTCACAACCATAGCCTGCGCAACGGAGGAGGATGGGGTGGGTGGGGGGGGCTGGGGAAAGACGGGAAACTTCTGGGAACAGGAAACGGACGCATGCGGTGGCATGCCCATCGTTGGTAATCTGCTTCCCTACCCCATCTGTTCGTGGATGATATGGTCGCAGGGTCAGGCAATGCAGCTCCGACGATGATGGTGATGAGGAGGATGGGGCGTATGATGCCGTTCACAGCGCGGCCCCAATTGGTAGGCCGTATACGGATAAGGCGAGACACGACGCTGCCATCGTACGAGCGCGCGCGCGCACCCTGCCGCGCACGCTGCCCGCCCGGGAACCAGACTGGATCTACCGGCAGCAAGAACCAAGCAGCCGCACCAGGCGACGCGACGGCAATGCGCGCCTCGCACTTCCACTCGACCCTTCAAGTGATGCACCCATCAAGCCGCGAGGTGGTGTGTCCTCGCTTTGCCAGGCCACCGCGCAGAACTGGCGCCACATTCGGGTCGCGAGCCATAGGTCCGTCAGTTCAACCACGCGCATGTTCCATGTCTGGATGGTACTCCATCTTCGCAGCCTTTGTTTATTGGCATTGTTTGTGTGGCTGGTGAAACGTGCCTGCAAATCTTGCGCCTTGCGCGCGAAACCCACTGCGACGACGTGTCGCTTGCTTTCCGTCTTATCAGAAAGGACACGGAACCGCCCTTTGCCGTTGCAGAGCGTCGCGGCCAGGGAATGCGCGACTCAGACGTTATGTACCAGTCATCACCTACGTGGCACCCCGCAAATGCGGATAAGAAAGAGGAGGCGGGCGCGGGGTGGGTCGCGGGGTGGGTAGCGGGGCGGGTCGCGGGAGGGCGACGACAACAACAACAACAACAACAACAACAATCATTTTACCCGAACGCGTGGTGTTCTCCCCAGTGCCAGGGTTTTCATACGACACCAGGCAATACCCCCACTTCGTGGGGGGGCATTACAAGCTCTACCAAATATCCAAACGACTCTTCGCGACCACCCAAACCCAGCTTCCCGCCCTATGACGTTGGGACACTTCACTTCGTGGCGTGCGGACGACCGTGGCTACTACACTGGCGTGGGGTACACACCCACAGAACCCAATGGTTTTTGGAGATTTCGGCGTGCGCGCGCGAAGAAAAAACGAATGTGTCCCGCATGGTATTATTTGACAGGGATGATGGCCCTGGCAGGTGCGCAACCGTTGTCGCAGAAGTTCGAAAAAGTTGCTCGCAAAAGCCCGTTTGACAGAAATGTTTAAAAAGTGTTGGGTTTCCTACGAATCCGCAAGAGCGCGCGGGATGAGATTTTGACATTTTTTTGTTGAAAAACCATTGGTTTTTTGATGTTTTTATGTTAAAATCGCTCCGAACACTAAGCTTTTGGAAGGATTTCGTCTTGCGCGCGCGAATGTCCACTTTACCTTATTTTTTGCAAGGGATTCTTGAAATTTGATTATATTAGAACAAGAAATGTCATTTTATAGTGTTTTTTGCAAGGGAAAGCGGGGGGGAACAAAACAACCGGATCTTGATCACATCGAATTACCTGAGGCTTCCTCACGAAAATGATGAAAATGTAGCTGCGGCCTAGGCGCGGCGGGGGGGGCGTGCACCAGGGGGCCCAACAATAATTATTCTTTAGAATTAATAATGTTCAACAACAACAACAACAAACAACCGACAAACGACAAACGACCAGAGTTTGGGCGACGGAATCCCACTCCAGCCGCGCACCCATGGATAGTGTAAAACTGCTCTGCCCCCCATCTCTGACCTCGCGTGTTCCCTGCCCTCTCCCCCCCGTGCCCGCTGATCCAAAATCGCCATGCTCTCTGCCCTCCTCCCCTAGAGCAAGACAACAACTACACGTAAACTTTTGGAGGTCCGCATGGGCTTCTTGGATCTGCGCTGAGCCCCCCAACAGGGCGTCGGTCGCACTGCCACTTCTGGGGTTGGCGCGCGCCAGTTCTCGGGGTGGGGCCCTCTGTGGAGCTGGGCAAAGGCGGGTGGCGCTCCCCACGGCCGCTTGCACCGCCGCTTGCCTGGCTCCACCACCGCCGCGCCGCCGCGCGTCCCGCCAGGCGTGGAGACCAGGCAGACACGACGACAAGGTTCGGTTCGGTCGACCTCGCAGGCGTGAGTCGCGCTCGCAACTGCCGGGCGGGTGCCGCTTCCCTGGGAAGCGACAGCCGAGGTAGGCCCAAGAGAAGCCTATGAGTCAGAGCCGCAAGGAGGGCCCAATACTCGCATACGGAGACGAGGAGCAAAAGGAGGAAGTGGCAACCGCCGTCAGCAACCCAGGCTCGCCCCCCTCCTCCTCGCTCCTCCTTCCTCTCTGTTCATCCCTTTCTCTGCTCCATTTCTCCTCCTTCAGGGCCTCTCCACTCTGGCTCTCGTTCGTCTGGCTTGGCTTTCCAAACTCTCACATTGCATCACTCCCTGTGCTTCTCCGTCCTCTATCCTATTTCTTGCCATCTTCTTTTTCGTCCTCCCCCGTCTTCTCCTGCCTCCCCCTTGCCTTCTTACCCGCCTAATCCTCCCCGCTCTTCTTGCCTCCGCCTCCCCCTCCTCTGTTTCTCCGAATATAGATACCTCGCTCTCGTCTGGCCATCGGACGTGTCGGTATGATGGACCAGTCGTTCCGCTCGAGACCTCCTCCCAGTTTAGGATACCGAAGCACAGAGAAGCGGAGGAAAGGGGGTCGCTTTCAAAAGGTGGCTCTCGCCGGAGCGCCGCTTGCACTCGTCATTGACATTCTCATTAGGCCGGGCATGTCCCCCTACAGTCGGATTTTGGGCAACAAATTGAGCATATTCGAAGCAACTCCCCAATCTAGTCACGACTTAACATGATCAGAACTGGCACGAAGATGGGGGGCGCTTGCAAGATTAGTTGCCTTGTTTCTCTGAACACAGGGGTTCAAGCTTTAACATGTGCCTGTAGGGCTTGCTTGGGAAAGATGTAGATGCTCCAAAATGGTACTCCCGCTAGAGCGTGGGCCTCGTTTCTGGATCGCGCTCTCGGCCAAGCGTGGGCCTAATTTCTGGATTGGAATCCTTCCTCGTCGGTGTCGCCCCCCTTTCCCCTCTTCCGCCCTCCCTTGGTCCTCCAGCTCCTCCGGCTCCTTCTACTCCTGCTCTTGCTGTTACGGTTCCTCCTCCTCCTCCTCCTTCCTCCTCCTTATCGTCCGCCACCTCCTCCTCCAACGTACGCAGATCCCTTTTGCTGATTGCGCATGACTGCGATGAGCGGCCTTTTGGGGGTTCCAGGTCCGCTGTGATGCCCGTCCGCGGATGGATAAAAATCAGCGCAATGGGAAGGGATGGGTGGGAGTGGTAGGATGTCAGATATGGCGTGAGCGCGCCTAGCTTTTCCCTTGCGACCCCATTCCGTCTTCCAGACCCCCTGATCTTCTGGCGCAGGATCAGAACACCTTTATGCTGAATGTGGGTACAGCTGAAGCAGCAGTCAACAAGAGCCAACTCTGCACCGCGACGACACAGGTTGCGGCCGTCACGCAACTCCTGAATGCCGCGCGCTGGCTGGAACGAGTACTTGAGACATCCACAAGGCGCCCCCCCGCGCGCGAACTCCTGATACTTGGCAATTTCCAGAAACCCTTAACCCCATAATGTAATCATCTATTGGGGATGCATTATTCTTTACTTCCGCCAACTTCCGCTTGCCTTCAGCCTGCCTCGCTGATTCTCCCTCGTTTTCCTTCCGCCAGCTTCTGCCGACCTTCCGCGGATGAAGAGATGCCAACTCTTTTGACTCCCGAAAGCGACGCACGTTCTGGAACGCCTCACTTGCTGCTACTGCTTCTTCCTATCTACACGTAAAATCGCAAATAGTAGAAGGCTAATGAGGCACCCTGACTCCGCCACAGTCGTAGTGACCGCAGACCACGATGTGCTTCACCTTCAAGTAGAAGACGGCGTAGTGTATCACCGAGCGCAAGTTCGTGTCTGTGGAAATCACCATGTTAGCAATATTTCTGTGCACGAAGATCTCGCCTGGCTTGGAATAAACCTCCCGCGGCCATGAAAACCAGGGTGAGTAACAAACGAAGGCGACGAAGACTGGAGGGGGCGAGGGGAAAAAGGGATGGAGAGGGGCATCAAAGGGGGAGGAAGAGGCGAAAGGGGAGGATCAGCAGCAATGATAACGAAGGAGTGGACACATGGGTGGGAAAGGAAAAATAATAAGCCAGAGAAAAGTGTGAGGGAGCTGACGCCATACAAGTGAAGGTCAAGATCCAAAGGAGTAGCGAACAAAGAGGGCGACTACAGTTGGGAGGAACATGAGCATGGGCAGACAAGGGTAAGCGGACCTCCCCTTCACTCATTCTTTCGCTCTGTTCTCCCTCAGTGTGATCGTTCGATTCTTGCCTTCTTCATCGACTTTGTCATCACCGTCGCATCAATCTTTCTCGTTCGCCTCTTTCGCCTCCCCTTCCTTGTCTGGCGTCCCCCGCTGGAGCGCCAAGTTCTCCGGCGCCACGCGGCTGTCGGAGCAGCCGATCCAGAGGGTACTGGGCGACTTGGGAGGGGGCGGCGGGGAGATGCATTGGAGGAGGCAAGAGAAAGAGAGGACGGGGGGTGGGGGGAGGGAACTCACATGCATGTATCTATATGTATATACGTAGATGTACATGCATATGTATATGTGTATGTATATGTTTTCGTGTATATATATATAGATATGTGTATATATATGCATATAAATATATATGTATATGTATATTTGTACTCACTAGATCCATCGCGTGCGCTTCGCGCGACACGGGAGATGACAGGGAGGCAAAAGGAAAGGAGGGAGAGGTGGAAGGTTGGAGGGAGACGAGGGAGAAAGCAGAAGCAGGGAGGCGGGAGGAGGGAGGCAGGAAGAGGGAGGGATGGAGGCGGAGGGAGGGAGGAAGCGGAGCGAGGAAGGGAGAGGAAGGAAGGGAGGGATGTGCAGCATGAAGCGAGGCAAAAATGGCACGAAGGGCGAAGAAAGAAACGGAGCGCGAGTGGGAGACAGGCGCGGGCGGTCGCCCGCCCGAAGAAAACCACGCGCCGTGCCCCCCCCAACCTTGCCATCGCTGGGGCGTCCATTCCCCGTGCCTTTTGCGAATTCGTGCGTTTGTTGTTTTGCACGATGATCCAAGAAACTCCTCGAGTCTCCTCGCCAAGAAAAATGTGCACAGGTCCGAGCGATGCCAAGCGCCCCCCCCCGCCCTCTCCCTGAAAGGTCCGCCCCCTGGCCTGGCCTGGCCCGAGGCGATGGTGTCGAAGAAGCCGGGCTCCTCCTTCGTGATGCGCTGCCTGCGCTTCCCTGTCCCTCCTCCACCCGTCTGCCCCCTCCCTCCACCTCAAGCCTCCTCCCACCTCCACCTGCGCACCTGGTGGCGCTGGAGCTTCTCAGACGCAGCCCTCCTCCATCTCCTCCTCCTCCTCCTCCTCCTCCTCCTCCTCCATCTCCTCCTCCTCCTCCTCCTCCTCCTTGCTCCTTCTCTGGCCGCTCCCGCTCCACCCCGCTCCCCCGATGCTTCTCTCCCTCCTTCTGGCCGAGCTCCTCTGCCGGTCCCCACTCGCCCACCCCCACCATTCTCCAACCTACCCGGCCGCCAAGGCTGGCCGCCTGGGCGCACCCGTTCATCACCGTAACCCTCTGCCATCTCGGAGGCGGAGGAGGAGGAGGAGGAGGAGGAGGAGGAGGAGGAGGAGGAGCAGGAGAAGGAGCAGGAGCAGGAGCAGGAGAAGGATCAGGAGGAGGAGGAGGAGGAGGAGTCCTTGCCGTTCCCATCGCGCCCCTTCACAAGCCCGACGTGCTTCTGCGCCGACCGAGCATGCAAGGGCCTGCCTCCAGAGCCGGTTGCGCTCGCCCATCTCTCTGCCGAACTTCGCGTCCTCCTCCTTCCCTTTGCTGATGTTTGCGTCTTCCTGGCGAAGGGGAGCGGCGGAGCTGAGTTTAGAAAGAAGTGGAGGAAGAACGGGGCATGAGGTCATACAGATAAAGCGAACGAGAGAGGGAGCAACCGAGAAATCCAAGGTAGAGGCAGGGAATGGCAAACCAATGCGAGCATTGGACAACGCAGTCTGCCTTGCAGACCGCGTTGGGGCACATCTCAGCGGCGGAAGAATCCAAGAGGCTCCGGGCGACGGCCAACGGTCCGCACGGAACAGCATGTGGACGGCTGCAATTGCGCCATGGGGGCCTGGCCCTCAGCTTCTATGGCTTCGACTGGCCACAGTTGTCTGAACTTCGCACCCTTCGAATGTTGAGAGTCTCGGCTTTCCTAGCAAAGTATCTGAGATACGATGCAAGAGAGCGCTACTGCAGCCTGTAGGATGCGAGAGGGAGATATCGATATATACATATATACATACATATACAGCTGTATGTCTATATGTTTATATATATATATATATATAAATACAAAACGGGCGCACACGCCATGCACATATATGTATATATGTATATATGTATCTATACTCATTCCTACCGACATATATACATAGGCACTCAACTATGTGTAGGAATGTAGATGTGTATGCTTACACACATATATAGAGAGGGACACATACATACACGTCTGTATTGAGGTAGTTGGTTAGAGCGAGGGAGTATGGAGTCAGAGGGAGTACTGTATTGAAAGCACCAGCGCGTGCGCTTCGCGCGCGACTGGGTTCGAGTCGAAGACCAAGGTGTTTCGAGACATTGGGTCAACCCCGCGACGCGCTCTGACTCAAGATCCAAACACAATGTGAAATTTCACTTGTACTCGCATTCCTGCACCGAACTGTCCGCAATATATTTTGGGCCTCTCCCTCCTCCTCCTCCTGCTCCTCCTCCTCCTCCTCCTCCTCCTCTACGTCTTCCACCTCCGCGTGCTCCCGAGTCTCGTCCCGTAGCTTCACCCGCCGTATCAAAAGAAATTATCATACTCGTCCTCGTCATCCTTCTCCTCCTCTCCCCACTCTGCCTGCAAAGATGAAGGGGCCCCAACGTCCAGCGCTGTGGTTTTTGTCCACATGGGGGCAACGAGGCCCTGGACCCCTTCCCCAAGGGTGGCTTCTCATTCCGAGTCGTTTGTTCATGGTCCCGGGGCCCGGGCCCGTCTCAACGCGGGCATCGGCTTGGACCCCTTCCCCAAGGGTGGCTTCTCATTCCGAGTCGTTTGTTCATGGTCCCGGGGCCAGGGCCAGTCCCAATGCGGGCATCGGAAAACGTCACCACGTCGGAGGTTCGAGTCTCCGGAGGTCTCCAAGAGATATCCGAATGTCCCCGCAGAAGTTCCCAGAGGACCCTGGGGCCTCGGGAACCCTCTCGAAACCCAACAAAAGCGTTGACATCCTCGATTCTCGAGCTTGAAACCTCAATTCTCGCTCCCTAGCCTCGATTCGAGCGCGATCGTCACCAGTGCGGTTGCAAATTCTGCTGACGCGTCCTTTTAGGACGCGACCAACGCTTGTCTCAACGCTGCGGAGGCAGCGGCCTGGCAAATAGACAGTCGCTTCGTGGTTCGCTCATGACGCTGCCTAACAGCTCTTTTAATCCTGTGTGCAACGCGGTTCCCTCATGTCGCTGGTGTGCATGGAACCCTGTCTGCGTTGAGCCCCATATGCGAATGTGCAGGGAGCCCTATGTGCGGGTGGTGATGTAGCCCTGTGTATGGAGTCCCACGTGTGTCGAGTCCAATGTGTGTGTGTGTGGAGTGACGAGGCTTCGCCTCGTCGCTGTGCGCGAGGCCACGACGATCAGAAAGTGTGTGTGTGTGTGTTCCACCGCCGCGCGTCCCCTCGGGCGTCGTGATGGTGTTCTTCCCCGCCGCCGCCAGGCGAGGCCTCACGCCCCCGCGGGCTCTCCTCGCCCGACTCTCCCACGCCGCCTCGGGTGCATGGCACTCCGCCTCGCGGCCTGCCCTGGCTTGGCGTCGTCCTCCCCCTGCCCCCCCCGCGTCTCCGTTGGGCGCTTCGGGTGCTGGACCCTCCCTGGGGCTGTTCGCCCCCCGCCCCTCCGCCACCGGCCCCTCCGCACGCGTGCTGGCACGTGGCCTCTGGCGTTCCGCGCCTTCCTGGCGGCGCTCCGGCTGTGTCGCTCCCCGGCGCCCGCCGGGCGTTCACTGGTCGGGCGGTCCACGTCTTTCTTGGCGCCTCCGGCGGGCGGGGCCTCTGCCCCCCCCTCCCCCGCCTCGCCGACGTCTGACTCCGCGCCGGGGCTCTGCGCTCCACGCCGCTTCTCCCCCAGCCCTCGTCGCGCCGCCTTCTGAGAAGTTTCCTGCGTCTTCGGAGATGGCCCCCTCCTCCTCCTCCTCCTCCTCGTTCGTTCGTGGCATTAGGGCGGATGGTCGAAGCCCCGACAAGGAATTTGGCGAGATATAGCGGGATGGAGACGGCGGCGACGAGGTTCCCCCAACCCCAGAGCCACACAGAGAGGGCAACCACCAAGCCCAGGCACCCCCCCAAGAGAGGGGACGCAAAGGAGGAAGAGAGAAGAAGAGGAGGAGGGCCCGCAGGGGGGGAGCGTGGGCTAAGGGTCCCCTTGTCCAGAGAACACGAGCCGAGCCCGGCGAGGCGACGAGGCATCTCAAGCCGAGTCCAGCATGCCAAACTCTTCAGTGACTGCAACACTAAACTATACAGCGCGCAATCGAAGGCTCACTCTGCGATCATGGCGGGGCCCAGGATACTTGTATTTTCCAAGAGCCAGCAAGATGATGGCAAGTGACGAATCCCAGCTCCTTTACACGAGTGACGAATTTGGGTAAGAAATAGGCCAGCACTTCTTGAAAAGGAATCGGCTCCACAGCGGAATATCCCATCCCCTGCGTCGCAATGGCCCATTTTGTTCCTGATACGCCTCTTCCCCAAGACTCCACGTAGTACTGTGAGCCGACAAGGGAACGAGTAGGGAATTCTGGTATTGCTCTGGACAGCACTTCGAAAGAAACTGTTGCCTGACAGCGCTGCTGCTCAGCTTCTCGGACGCATTTTTGTTTGAAGAGGTCCACGGCGGAATCTAGTAAGTAAGACTCGTACTCGTCCCAGATGCTTTGCTGGCCCATCGTTGTGGCAGCAGGCACCGGAGAAGAGACACCGCTAGCACTGATGCTCTCGTCGTCCGCATACGGCTCGCTACGCTGTTCCAGCAGATCTAAGCTCAGGCTGGGCACCACATGACACCCTTCCGTTCGAAATGCTGCATGCGCATTTCCAGCCATAACTTCTTGCCCGCAAGCAGCCTTCCGCCCATCGCTCATGCCCAGCAGGGCCGAGGTTGCATCAAGCTTGGCCTCCAAGCGCGCCAGGACGTCAACGATATTTGGGGTACCATGGAGCTGGCAACCAACATCATTACTTTCATGATGGGCTCCTGCAAGAACCGGACCAGAAAACGGACGCAACCAAAAGCAGATTTCAGTAACTCCCGAAGAATGTTTATGCCCTCTATCAACGACAGTGTGCGAATGAAGTAGGCGACGAAGGGAATCCAACTGCTGATTGATATGAGCACGAAATGGATTAGATATAGCGTCTGCGCCAGAAGCATGCAATATGAACTTATATTTGAGCTTGGCCGGGTCGCGCGCCTGGCTGATGCACACATGAGCCAGCCGACCCGCATCAATCTGCCTGCGAATCCAGTCGATGCGCCCATGGACCGGCATGATACTGCAGCAGGTGTGCGATGAGGGGGAACTCAAGTGAAATGTGCAAGCTGCTCACAAGCAAATGCTCGATCGCAACAGCTCTCCTCCTCCTCCTCCTCCTCCTCCTCCTGCTCCTGCTCCTCCTCCTCCTCCTCCTCCTCCTCCGCGGAGTCCACGTGGGCGCGCGGGCTTCCTACGGGGGCTCTTCCACATATAGTGCGCCAGTCCAGTTCGGTGTCCCTCGCTTCCCGGCGGCCCCAGCCCGCTGAGCGGGCCTGCCTCCCAGCCCTCCGGCCGCGCTCCGCTCGCCTCGGGGCCCGGGCTGGTCTTGCCGCCCGCGCTGCCCTCCCCCGAGTCCCCCTTGCCTTCTCTGGCTCTCAGGCCCACGCCCCTCGCCTGGAGGTGGCTTCGCACTGCTCTGCCTTGTCGCCACTGGCTGTATCGTCAGCCCCCATGGCCCCCCCCCCCTGCGGACCCTGGTCCCCTTGGGGTGCTCGGCGCTTCCCCCTTGTCGCGGTGACGTTCTGCCCCAGCCCCTGCTGGGCACTGGCTCCCCGCCTCGGCTCGCTGCCTGCAGCTGCCCCTGGCGCTCCCCGTCTCCCGCCGGCTGTCGGCCCACCGCCGCTGGCTCCCCCCCCCCCCCCGGCGCCGCCCCCGCCACGCGCATGGCCCTGCTTTGAGCGGGCCCGGCTTCTCCCTCTTTCCCGCCGCCGCCGGGCGCCTCTTCCTCCTCCTCCTCCTCCTCCTCCTCCTCCTCCTCCTGCATGGTGGCCTAATTCGCGTTCCGTGCGCCCCACCGACGCCACTTTCGCCAGCGCAGTGACTCGGCCTAGCCGCAAACGAAGAAGACGTGTGTGTGTGTGTGTGTGTGTGTGTGTGTGTGTGGAGTGCCGTGCGTGCGGAACCCATGCGGAAGGAGCGCCATGCGCGTGACACCCCGCGCGCGCGGGCCGCCCGGTGGGTCGCGCGTGCGGTGCGCGGTGGACTGCGCGGTGCGCGGCAACGGGCGCACTGGCCGCACAGTGGGTCACGCTGTGCGCGGCCCCACGGTGGGAACGGCCCGACACCGCGTGCGGGGACCAGCTTCCTGAAGCACAAGGGTCGGCGGCGAGCCCAGGGGGGAATTGGCCTGATCAGAAGGCTCGGAAGGCCTCGGGCCTTCTGCGAAGTTTTCTAAGCCTTCCCTGAGGACGCAGAAGACTTCTCAGAGGGCCAGAGGGCTTCTGAGAAGTCTTCTGCGCCTTTTGACAAGGCCTGCTCCCTCTCACTTCCCTCCCTCGTTCGCCGCCGAAAATAGGACACCCTAATAGAAGAGGAAACAACAAGCACGCCATAAGCATGAACATTCGGAGGTCCTCGCGGACTTCTCTGATTTGCACTGGGCCCCCGTCCCTAGCACGTGGAGCGTGCCAGGGGCGGCGCCGGAGGCGTCGCCACGGGGGTGCAGCGCAGCTCCGGGAGATCCGCGCGGACCTCAGGAAGTGTTGATGTTCACTCCCTTTTTTTTGTGTGTGTGTGTGTGTGTGTGTGTGTGTGTGTGTCTCTGTCTCGACCTTAAGTGCCCGTTTACTTTCTTGGGGGGGGCGGGGACACGGTGCGATCGGCTCGCGGGGCACAGAGCTGGCACCCCGCGCCCGCAGCAAGAGGGGTGGGCGGGCCGAGCGCCTGAGCCTCCTGCTCCTGGGCCCACTCGAGCAGGCCCTCGGGCTCCGTCCACGAGTTGGGGAAGTTGCCTGCGGCGGGGGGCTACGGCTACGGCTACGGCTACGGCTGCGGCTCCGCACTCGTGGCGCCATCAAGGCGCGGCGGAGAGGGCACCGAGGCGCCTGCTAAGGTACACGCGTGTGAAGCAATGTGAAATGCTGCGAGGAGGAGGAGGAGGAGGAGGAGGAGGAGGAGGAGGAGGAGGAGGAGGAGGAGGAGGAGGAGGAGGAGGAGGAGGAGGAGGACGAGGAGGAGGAGGAGGAGGAGGAGGAGGAGGAGGAGGAGGAGGAGGAGGAGGAGGGGGAAGATGGGAGGACGGGCGGGGGCAACGGGCGAAACTCTCACAATCTCGGCCTCAACTGCCATCGCTGGAGGCCTGGAGATGGGCATCAATACCAACACGGGGGGTTTGCCCCACAGGGGGAAGATGATCCTAGATGTCGGTGTTGGGGACAAGATGTCGGTCACCTTGGCAGCCGGAATATTACCACCATCACCGAGATCGGGATCTTCTTCCCTCGGTGGAGGCACACCGCCGATACTGGTGTTGGTGTCAACCTCTAGGACTTCGACATCGCCCTGGGAGGCGGCGCCGTCACGGCGGGCACGGCGCGCGAGGCACGATGGCCCTCGAACGAGGACCTGGCGCACTCGGCGTGGGGATGAACAACGCATGCCGATTTGGTGAACGATTTGGAAGGCAAGAGTGACTGCTGTTCTTGAGCTGATCCGACTCCCAACCGCCCTCGCTCCCTCCCAAGGTGGGATTTGGAAGTACACCAGCGTCGTGGCTGAAGCCACTGTCGAACTACACGCACTCGGCACCCGTTTCCGAGGTCGCCTACCTCCGCGCCGCGCGCTGCGCGGTTATCTTCGTGCCACTGTGAGTGGCCCGTGTTTCTGGTCAGGGAGCCGCATTCGGTTCCGGACAAGACCCAATTCGCCGGCCCAACGGGCCAGAGGCGTGCTAAGATCTCCGCTAACTGGTTAATGCTATTTCTAGTTCGCGCCCGCGGGGCGGCCCCTGGGGGTCCCCCGGCGAAAAGTATCCCGACCGCAGCCCGACTAAGTCTACCCAGAGATGGTTTTAAGGGCTTTTTTTTCGACACCCCTCACGAGGATCGTGGCCTCCGAGGGGGGTGCACTCGACTACCCCGCCCCAAGAGGCCCCCAAGAGCCTCCCAAGAGGCCCAAGGGGGCCCCAAGACGCCGCCAAGGAGCCCCAAGAGACCCCCAAGAGGCCCCCAAGAGGCCCCTAGGAGGCCCCAAAGAGGTCCCCAAGAGGCTTCAAAGAGGCCCCATAAAGCGCTCGAGGGCCGGCGGAATGAGCGAAGCGATTAAATAACTGGCAGCCACCTGTCGCTTCCGTCGCAGTTGATGAGGCATGCTTTGAGACCCTTGCTGGCGAAACGTCCGTCGGTCACTCTTGGTGGGTTTAAAAATACTCCTGGAGCGGGGGCGGCTGGTCTGTCGTCGTCGAGCCGTCTTTTAAACATTGCTGTGCCACCGCCGATGTACTGCAACCCTGTCACGGAGTCTGGACACCCGAGGCCCTGCTCCGACCCAGTGAGCTCCTTGTGCAGGGCGCAGATGGCAGATGGAGCATTGGTATCCCCCTAATGTGGTGACTTTGGCTGGCCGGACTAGCGCCTCGAGGACCTCGTGGGCGCTTCCAGGGGGAACTTGCTGTCTTGCATCTCTGCCCAAGTGCGTGGGCACTGGTGCCCCCGGGCGACGGTGTGGTGGTGTGCGTGCGTGGCGAGCCTGCTGATCTGCTTGATGGCGTCCTCGAACTTCCCGTGCAGGGTGGTCAGAGCGTTGAGGGTTAGGCACCAGGCGTTTGCGAAAGCGCTTCTGTATTCCAGGTGGACATTCTGCCGGGGTACTTTTTTGGTCGGCGGCCGCGCGACTGCGGTCTGGCGGCGACCAGCGTGTCGGGGACGGCGGTGCAGGCTAATTGCACGCAAGAGGTGCGGTGCACGTGCACTGAGCAAAATGCTCCACATTCGCAGTGACGCACCAAGGCGCCGCCCGGTCCAGAAGAACGAGCGCGCAGTGGTGCAAGTGCTACGGAACGTCGCCCTTGCGGCGCCAAGCTCCGAGCATCACCCCAGACAAACAACGGGCACCAGCCCGTGGGGCCGGCTGCTGGTGGTGGAAAACAGGGGCCGTCGGCGCTGAAGGCTGGGCCACTCAGCGCGCAGCCAACGAATGCCCTTCAGAGCTGTTGGGGCTGGCGGCGGCCGACGGACGAGTCGGCACCAAGAAAAGGGAAGGTGCGCCGAGAAACGCGGGCGAGGCATCGCTCTGGCAAGGCAGCCCGTCGCAGTCACCCTCGCCTCGGTGGGCGCCGCCGTCCTCCCGAAATCGCAGTGTCGACCGGCTGCGAGAGGGCTCCTGCAGCCCGCAGAGTGCGACTTGGCGTGGAGAGGGGGGGCGCAGCTAACCTCCGCAAGAGATGCGTAACTGGATAGCAGCTGCGCGCCGAGAGCGTATGCACGTGTGGGGGGTGCAGCTAACCGCCGTGGTAGTCACGTAGAAAGAATGGGGGGTGGCCGAACAGTGCCGGTGCAGCCCGGGCTGGAGTGTGCCAGCGACGGACGCGCCACTTGGACGGCCATGTGCCGCAGCATTGCGCAACGCAGCTGAAGTTGCACCTGATCCTCCGAGCAGCCTGCTCTCCTGGCCACCCGCTCTGGCTACTGCAGCCGCCGCGGGCGAGCCCCGGGGGCGTAGAGGAGGACGCCCGCCAGGTCACGCAAGCGGCGCCGCCCCACACCGCGGCCGGCCTGCGGCCCTAAGAGTGCGCCTTGCCGTGGAGAGGGGGCGCGCAGCTAACCGCCGCAAGATGCACGTAACTTGATAGCAGCTTCACGCCGAGAGCGTCTACACGTGTGGGGGGTGTGCAGCTAACGCCGCAGAAGACACGTAGAAAGATGAGGGGGGGGTGGCAGGACAACGCCGTTGCAGCCTGAGCTGGAGTGTGCCAGCGTCGGACGCGCCACATGGGGGGTACATGCGCAGCAGCCTTGCGCAATATAGCTGGGGCTGCAAACTGCCCCTTCCGTTCCCATCTGGTCCGCCGCAAGTGTGTCTGCGAGAGCCCCGACTATGATGCATCGACCTTTCGTTGACACGGGGGGTGCGGCTAACCGCCGCAGAACACGAATTTATGGAAAGTGTGTCCGCGAGAGCCCCATCCATGAGTGGAAAGTGCCTCCGCCTCTGCTCTCAGCGCTGCAGTTGATGGCAGTGGGCGCACTTGCCGCTGAGAGTGGCGGGGAAGCTGATCGTCGGTATGGAGGGGGGTGCAGCAAACCGCCGCGTCACACGATTTGGTGGGAAGTGCGTCTGCGAGAGCCCCTTCTGTGATACATCGGCCTTTCGTTGACACGGGGGGTGCAGCTAACCGCCGCAGATGACACGATTGATGGAACGTGAGTCTGCGAGAGCCCCATCTGTGATACACCGACCTTTCGTAGACACGGGGGGGGCAGCTAACCGCCGCAGAACACGATTTGTTGGAAAGGGTGTCTGCGATAGCCCCGTCTGTGATGGATAGTGCCTCCGCCTCTGCTCTCAGCGCTGCAACTGGTGACAGAAAGCGCCGTGTAGACGAAACGTGCACGAGGGGGGGGGACCTGATCCCTGCGCGTGGGATGCCACGAGGTGGGGCAGCAATCTGCCCTGCTGCTGCTGCTGCTGCTGAGGGAGCAAGGGTACCTCTGAATCTTCTCTTGGGTTCTGCGGGCTCCCATAGGGGGGTGTTGTTGCTGTGGCAGCGGCGGGGTGCTGTTGCTGCAGCACCTGTAGCTGCTGCTGTGGCTGTGGTGGGGGGTGCTGCCGCTGTTGCTGCCGCTGCTGCGGTTGCTGCTGCGGCTGCTGCAGCTGCTGGGTTCTGCTGCAGCTGCTGTTGCTGCGGCGGTTGCTGCTGCTGCTGCTGCCCTGCTGCTGTGGCTGCTGCTGGCCGTGGGGCTGGCCGTGGGGCTGGCCGCGGGGCTGGCCGCAGGGCTGGCGGTGGGGCTGTCCGCGGCGCCGCCGGCCGCCGCGAAGGCAGCCGCGACGCCAGGCAGCGAAGGCGGCGGCGGCGGCAGCGGCGGCGGCCGAAGCGCAGGCAGCGACGGGGGCGGCGGCGGCGGCGCTAGCTGCCGCGCCCCCCGCCGCCGCCGCCAGCGGGGTGCGCGGGGCTGGCCGCGGGCTGGCCGCGGGGCTGGCGGTGGGGCTGTCCGCGGCGCCGCCGGCCGCCGCGAGGGCAGCCGCGACGCCGGCCGCGGCGCCGCCGGCCGCCGCCGCCGCCGGGGGGCCGGTGGCGGCGGCAGCGGAGGCGGCGGCAGCGGCGGCAGCGGTCCGCAGCGCCCGCGGCGCCACCGGCGCCGGCGGCGCCAGCGGCGCCCGGCGGCCGCGGCCGCGGCGGCCGGCGCCCGCGGCGCCGGCGGCGCCGGCGGCGCCCCCGCGGCGGCCGCGGCGCCAGCGGCGGCAGTGGCGCCCGCGGCGCCCGCGGCGCCGCCAGGGGCGGCCGCCAGGGGCGGCCGCAGCTCCAGCTGCGCCAGCGGCGCCGGCGGCGCCCGCGGCGCCCGCGCCCCGCCGCCGAGCCCCATCACCCGGGCCCGAGCGCTGCACCTGAGCAGGGCGGGCGGGCTCGAGCCGAGACGGCTTGAGGCAAGGCTACGGAACTGCCAGGGTACGCGAAGCGTCCAGAATTCAAATTACGGGGAACCTTCTGCATTGCGGGCAACTGCCGCCCCCCGCTTTCCCAAATGAGGGGTTCGAAATACGGGAAGCCCGGAATCACCATGAACCCGGAATCACCACGAACAAATGGGGGTTCCTGAACTGATTCCAGGTTTCCCATACTTGGGAATATGCGAAGCCTGGAATCAGCTTAAGAACTTTTTTCGTGGTGATTCCAACTTTCCCATAATTCGATGATGGGAAACCTCGAATTCGAATTATGGGAAACTTGTAATCAGCTCAAACACCTTCCTTCTTCGTGGTGATTCCAAATTTCCCCAAAATTCGACCCCCCCGGCGGCCTCTCCCCCTGGTTTTCCGAAATTCTGAATTCGAATTACGGGGAACCTTCCGCATTGCGGGAAACAGCCGCCCGCTGCTTCCCCAAATGCGGGCTTCGAACTACGGAAAACCCAGAATCACAACGAATAACATCAAAAATGAGCTGATTCCAAATGTCCCATAATTCGGAATTATGGGAAACCTCGAATCAGCTCATAGAGAGCGGTTTGTCGTAATGATTCGAGGTTTCCCATAATTCGAATAATGGGAAACCTGGAACCACAACAAGCATTTCTACCCTCTCAAGGGTCCCGGGCAATCGTTTGGCCATGGGTTTCCATGAGTCGGAATTATGGGAGACCTGGAATCAGCTCATCGAGTGCGGTTTTTTGGTGGTGATTCCAGGCTTCCCATAATTCGCAGGCCTTCCGAAATATGGGAACCCCATCGCCGGACGACTGCCCTCCTCCCTCCCTCCTTCCCCGCTCCTTGCCTCTGGCAAGGGCGCGCGCGCGCGCTTAAAGGCGGGGTTTGGTGGCTCACACCCCGTTGCCGCGCCAATGTCTCCTCCGCCTTCCGATTCCTCCCTGTTCCCCCCCCCTCCTCCTCCTCCTCCTCCTCCTCCTCCTCCTCCTCCTCCTCCTCCTCCTCCTCCTCCTCCTCCTCCTCCTCTCCTCCTCTCCTCCTCCTCCTCCTCCTCCTCCTCCTCCTCCTCCTCCTCCTCCTCCTCCTCCTCCTCCTCCTCCTCCTCCTCCTCCTCCTCCTCCTCCTCCTCCTCCTCCTCCTCCTCCTCCTCCTCCTCCTCCTCCCTCCTCCTCCTCCTCCTCTCCTCCTCCTCCTCCTCCTCCTCCTCCTCCTCCTCCTCCTCCTCCTCCTCCTCCTCCCTCCTCTCCTCCTCCTCCTCCTCCTCCTCCTCCTCTCCTCCTCCTCCTCCTCCTCTCCTCCTCCTCCTCCTCCTCCTCTCTATCCTCCCTCAGTCGTTTTTTTTTCGGGGCGTGTCCTGTCGCGGGCACCCTGGTGGTCTTCGGCCTGCCACCGCGGTGCCGACAAAAATTCTCCTGATGGACACACCCCGTCGCGTGTTTCTCCGTGGACTGCCTCTCACACGCCTGGCCCTGGTGGCAGGGCCGCGGTTGCAGGAAAAGGAGGAAGATGAGGAGGAGAAGGAGGAAAAGGATGAGAAGGAGGAGGAGGAGGAGGCGGAGGAGGAAGAGGAGGAGGAGGACTGAAATGCCGGAGGAGCAGGTCGCTCGGTAGGAGATCCGCGGAAGCGTCCGACATGCGAGCTTCAGGTGGGTGGGGTGGGGGGTACAGCAGTAAATGTATCGTGCCGCAGTTCACGGAGGAGCAGGAGGATAATGAAAAGGGAGGATGCGAATGATGAGGATGACGAAAGTGAGGGAGACGAGGAAGGGGATGAGGATGATGATGAGGAAGAGGATGAGAAGGAGAAGACGAGAAAGAAGGGGAGAAGTTGAAGAGGTGAAGCACGAGGGTAAAGATGAGGGTGTTGAGGTTGAGGAGCACGACGAGGACGAGGAATCACCGAGGAATCACCGATGGCGACCCTGTCCCCTACAGAAGAAAGGCGGATGCGCCACGCGCATCACAGTGCTGCCAGGGCCGCCTCTTGGGCCCCTTGTGGGCACGGATGGCGGCCCTTCGAAATCCTGGAGCCACGTGACGTCCATCAACCGCGGCAGTGAACCCGCACAGCATACAAAATCGGAGACTCATAAGGTCCGACGACCAAATTCGATGGCTGGGGCCCACCAATTTCTCACCCGCCCAAACCTCCCCTACCGACCTGACGAATCCGGACCCCAACCATGTTCGGAGTGGTGAGGGAGGTGGAAAGCGGGCGGCGCGGCCTAGCGCAGGCCGCCTCCAGCCCCACCGAAGTCGTGAGGTCGTCACAGATCACGCGCCTCCATCGTCCTCCAGAGCGGCGAAGTCGTGAGACGATCCTGACAGGGCCTTGTTTCGCCTGGAGACTCACAAAAGGGGCACTGGCGGCCCCGCCTATTCGCCCTCCCACGGATCGACGGCAGCAGTGTCCAGAAGGGCTTGACGGGCACGCCTGCGAACTACCCAGTCACTGACATCGACCTCGTCAGTGCGAGGCAGCTCTTTACCTTCGGTGGCCAGCACGAAACCTCTGGCGGCAGCATCCGACGCGAGGCCATCGGCCACAGCATTTCCAAAACACCATAGAGCCTGAATCCTAGTCAAGATGCCTCCCTCCTCATCCTCTAAATGGGAAGGGGTCCAAAGCACACGCACGTGACCGCTGCGCGGGGCTCTGGCAGCACGAATCCGCACTCACATGTCCGCATTCTGCTCCTTGGGAGCCGGCCTCCAACCCCTCCCAGCCTCCCAGGCACAGAGGAGGGGGAAGTGGTCGGTAATTTAATCTAACGGACCGTGGGTGAGCTCCAGGGACAAATAAACGGTGAGCAATTCCGCACGAGGCGCAGTTTGTCGGGGTCCAACAAGCGGGGCAGACGCAGCCCAAACCGTGTTCCACTGCAGCACATCCTCAGGGTCATCCTGAAGACTGTCAACTCCAGCGCCACACCTGCGTTTCCTGGGGTCGCTGGAGTGTTCACCACCTGAGCCGTCGCCGGAAACAAATC